AAAAAGTTGAAATTTTCATTAGAATTAAGCTGTTTTTTTGTACGAAACATCCAGCAAATTCGTCAAATGTTCTTTACGTTGTCCTGCATTCTACAATGGAAAAATAAGTATTACAGCCTTTAAGAGTAAAATAATCTGTAGAACATCTCGAAGTGCCGAGCATATATCAAATATGTATCACCAACACTTGCGATTTTTTTTAGAGCATATCATTCCACATTTGTTTTTTTTATATCAAGAGCTCCAAGTGATTTGATAAGTTTCAGCTGACAGATCAGCAACTCAGTTCTAGAAGATCCACATCCATCCACTAACTCAGAATTTTAGTGCTTTCCATCCTTTCACGAAGAATGCATCACGTTCGCCACGGTCATCCATGAAATTGGCATATGACATTCGATTGTGTAAAACTTTACGAAGGAAACGAATTGGTCTTATGTACACGTGTGTTATTTAAAAGGAACAAAGAAACAAGAACAAAGAGCCAAATACCGGGCAATATCTGTTCATGGAACACAAAATCGCTCATCAAGTGTAGGTTATCATAGAGATAGACTTCAAACCACCTAGAATTACATGATATTTTTCTCAAAAGGTATAGTTCTATATACAAGTGGAATAGCTTACTGTGATGACACAACAGGCTTTGTAGAAACCAGTACGTACAAGAAAATGCTCCACTACTCGGAAAGACACTAGGATTACTATCACATCTCAGACTAGTTTCCTACGTCAACGAGTTGTACAAAAGGCTGTAGAAGGCTAGAAAAAGAGCTCAGGTTACGCCTACGTGAAAAAAAAGGAATGCGATAACGGAGAGAGCTAGACAGTGGCACTATGGAACATACTATATACAACAAAATCCCTGAAAACCGCGCGGAAAGCTGTAGCGAATATTCGATAAGTCATCTGTTGAGACCAAATCAAATCACATGTTAAGATGATCTGACAATAAAATGGCAGTTGGGATCTAGATCCACGGGTAAAAAGAGAGGGAGACATGTGATATTAGCTCGTATGTTTTCGAATTTCTTCTCACGCGGTGGTTTTTTGCAGTGGTCGACGTCGAGGCAGCACGATTTTCGACTGAAAACAAATTTGATTTTACGGTTATTTCCTCAACGCGCACATGTGCCTGTGCCAAGCAGCTAAGCAAACATGAAGATGAAAATATTTCGCGCTGGAAAGAAAGTGCTAAAGAAAAGTGCAACAATTAAAACTATTTTCCTTCATTTTATAGTTCTCTTCATCATAAGCGCAGCTAACTGCACTACTTACTCTCCCATTTCACACATCAAAGCATAAGTTGCAAATTTTTAAAAAAATGCATATAATTCATACGATTTTCTCACATAATCCATTATTTTGCTTCAATCGAGCGAAATTTGCGAGATGCGAGTTTTGCCTAGCGTCTCGACGAATTTATCACGGCTGCCATGCAATGAAGAAGAGACGAGACGCAGTTCCAAGAAAAGAATGTTCCAGCAATTGTGTTCACACGTTTTAAAAACAAGTTGCATAGAAAATTGTCCATAGAAAGATTTTAACGGATGTCTGTGCAAAATTCTCAAATTTGTGTAAGAGAAGAAATCAACGGTTTTTTAAAATGTTTTTTATAACGACAGAATCTGACTTATAGTCCTAGAAGCTGCCATTTTTCGTTAAATTTTAGGAGATTAACATTTCTATGAAATATTTTTTCCATGCTAACCCCAACTTAACCAAAGATATATTCTGAGTCTCTTTCTCCTGCATATTTCACGCGAAACGTCAGCTGAGGCAACATTCCAATAGCGAGTCCCGCGAATGCGCGATTGTTTTGCAGACCTTAGAAAAACAGAGACAACCTAGGAGCACAGCGCAGAACCTGTCTATTTCCATCCCGACGTTGATTAATCCACAGACGAGCAATTATTGGCGACACTTGATCATCAAATGGAATATCATTGAACAGGTTTTTGGAAAGCCATGAAGCATAGGGGTTGCGTCCGTTTTGAATGTTGAGAAGGGACTAGTTTCCGCCGAGGGGAAGGGGGCAGGTGAGGCGTATGCTGTTTGCATGCAACATGCTTGCCGTTCAAGCCATACTTAATGGCAGCGTTATAAAAGCTTCAGTGACCCGTTGAGCGCAGCAGCCGCGCCTCGAAGATCCCGCAAATTGCTGCAAATAGGGAGTCATCTGAGCGCGGCGGAGATCGAGTAGGAGCGTGAGGCCCTCGCCAAAACACTCAATTCTCACAAAGGTTCGCGCTTGCGTCTGTATCGCTTCTCACTGGCTTCTCTAGTATTGGCCCACATAAACGGCAGTGAACACGGCTCTTAGATGTTTGCATAGGATCAAAAGCGTAATCGGACAACGACAAAGCCGCACCTGCAAATTGAGAACGTCGCCATCCTCGATACGATAGCTGTGCAAAGACATGCCCGGGTATCGAAACTCCTCCACCCAACCGTCTTTTGTTGTGAGAAACATACGCAATCGGTTATACGGTATGCCGCACTCCTTCTCCAGAGACCTGGAAAAAAATCTTGATAGCATAATGGAGAAAAAACGTGAAAACTCTAGGGGGTTTTCAAAAGCATTCTTGGGGCACATTATCGCGTTTAACTGAAGCTAACTCCTTGCGCTCTTCTTGCAATCTTCTCTTTAGTAAGTGCATGCGAGGAGTATTGAGGAAAAACGCTCGAGCATGGGAATTCGAACCCCAATTGCCAAAATGTTCTTCGCGGCATTCGAAGATTTTATCTCTGCCTAGACATGTTTTGCAGGCTTTCTGCACTATCTATGCTGTTTTGTTCGCCCTTCGCTAGTCTAACATCCAAAAACATCAAAAAACGACATAGAACTGATGAATGCAATTTTATACGAACAATGCTTCGTAATTTTTGGAAAAGCAACCCCGTGTAATCAGAACATGCACAGCGGCTGCAGTCCAATGACTCCCCTCCCTAGCCCGTCCCTGCAAGTGAATCAGGTTGTTAAAACGTTCACAAAGGGGAATGCTAACATAAACAATGGGCGCTGGGCATTATGGGCTAACATCAGCGATGAATAAATCAGTGACCGTGACAGGCTGACATCCTGCATGTTAAATCTCTATTAACTTTCGACTTACTTCATCAATTGGCCAACATTTTTATTGAGGTTGATGCGAAGTTTCGCTTGGTAGTTTGTTTCCTCACAAAAGACTTGCACGTGAGCAGATGACTTAGGTGTGAGATCAATCTTTGCCAGCTTCTCCACATGACCATGCTTATCTATCAGACGCTTGTAATGATGGGGCTTGTCGTCTCTCTCCTGTAAATGTCTGTAGAATATGGCGGCACGACAAAGACGGCCGAACGAGACCATATGGAGGTCGAATGGAGACAAAGGCAGACCTGGTAATAGCGAATGAAGTATCGTTCCGACTGCTCCCGCTGTTCGGGTGTGATGATGGAGCCGTTCAGCACTCGGAGATTTCGAACTCGGCCAATGACCAGGTGTATTCGTTCCTCTTCGCTGAGTGGTTCCAGTAGAGGGATTGAGAGGATTCGCAGGTCCGTTAACGAGGGCAGCCGGTCCAGGCTGTCAATGCTATCCCAGTCGGCGATTTCCGTCTGGAAGAGTCATGGTTGAGAACTGTTTGCTCATAGTATTGAGACGACCGGGCTCAGTCATATGATAACACTCTCATTGATAGCATCCTTTT